TCTGTCTGACACCTCTGTGGCTGTCATCTTGAGTGTGTAACAGTGTAGGTGCTGGGAGGACAGTGTACTTGTGGATGAGAAGGTCTTCTTCACACGGTAACAGCTACACTTAAAGTGCATCATGATAAGCAAGTTGACTCCTAGTCTTTGTAGTAGTTACTAGGACCCTTCCCCCAATTTCCCTGTTGAATAGACAATATCCACTTACTTTTTACAGCAACCCTCTGAGCTGGATTTCCCCTCTAGACGGGGTCTGATATGTCCTAGGCTGGCTTCAGACTTGCTGTGCAGTGAGGATGACCCCAAACCTCCAGCCTCCACTTCCCATGGGCTGGGATCACAGGCATGTGCCAGCATGCCCAGTTTATGTGGTGCTGGGGTTGACCCCTGAGCTTTGTGCACAGCAAGCGAGGACTCTGCTTACTGAGTCACACCGCAGCCCTGAACTAGATGCTGCTAACACCGGTTGATAGATAAGGAGACTAAGAACCAGGGGGTTAGCCCATGACCAGCAGGTGGCAGATTTGGGGTCAGATTTGCAGCCAGTTTGACCCTAGTGTATGTGCCCTTAAGCATGCTGCTCTGTTGTCTCCTGTGCTGAGTCTGGGACAGTGGAAGGAACCAAAGTGTAAGAAAGAGCCACGCCCAAGGTCTTGCAGCTTGGGACACTCAACCCCAGGCCTTCCACAGTCCAGTCCATGGCATGTTTCCTAGTGCATGGCTTTCCTAGTTGATCACTTAATCAGAACGAAAAGAGTTTGATGACTCCCGTCTCCTTCCACTCCGCTCTGCAGGTAAGAAAACTGGGGACCAGACTTTGATAGAACGGTATATGCCCTTTGGGAGAGGTTTGGCTTTGGTCCACCTTTGGAAGGAAGTAGAAGGAGGGCAGGAGACCTGCTCTCCCCCTAAAGGACATAGACATAGAACCTACAGATGAATCTGCAAGACCCACAGCAAATGTGCCTCCCCTAAGGCACTCCCTAGCTCAGCCCATCAAACCAGGCTTAGGGTGTGGGGACCACTTGTGTGAGCCTGGGAAGCCAGAGGCCTGGAAGACAACTGCCAGAAATATCTCCGATGCTCTGCCCCAGGGACCAGGCAGGAAGAGGGAAGGAGATGGGGGTGGGGTGGGCAGAAGTCCCATGAGTACTGTCCCAGGCCCTCTGCCAACATCCCTCCTTCCCTGAGACCAGACATTGTCTGGAAGGGCCTAGAATGTTCCAGGCCATAGGTATGACAGCCCTTTCTTGTGGACAAGTGGATGCTGTTGTGTTAGATCTTTGCCTATGTCCTTGTTAGGCCTTGGTGACAGAGTGTCTGGGAGGCTTCCAGAATTTTGTGTGTGTGTGTGTGTGTGTGTGTGTGTGTGACTATGTCTTCCGGCCCTACAGCCTGCTCCCCCACCTAGCCTGGCCTCATCTCTCCACCTGCCTAGCCTTGCCTCAGAAAGGAGAGGGGCTAGAGAAGGCAGACTGTCAGGACAGAGCTGCTGCATAGTTGCCCTCAGCTAGCCTGTTCAGACACCTAGTGGAAGCCAGACTGAGCCAGATGGAACCATCACAGGCCTCTCCTAAGAGCAGGAGGCAAAAATCACAAAACTCTTGCAGACTGAATGAAGTTTATCCTTCAACCCATTTTTCCCCCAAGTCAAGACCTCTTGAGTGGGCGGAGGCATATGCACACACCCTGTTTCTGCCTTCCACAGCCTGATGATGGGGAGGGGTCCGCATAAGGTAAGATCATGGTTCTGATTCTGAGCCGAGGCTCTGCCCTTTCGCCCCACCCTCAGGGCCCCAGCTGCTGCTGTGTGGGACTTTCCTCCTCCCAGATCCTGAGTGGCCCTCTGGGATATGGAGAGGACAAGGAACTGTCTTGGCTGTGGGCAGCTCACAGAGTTCCCAGGCCCTGCCCGACCCCTGCCCGAACTCTAGCAAACCCCCTCTCCACTCTGCACTCCCCACACTGAGAGACATGGGGGTGGGGAGGAAAGGCAGGCAGGCAGTCAGGCAGTCAGGCTCTGAGCCTTGGAGGGGCACAGTCCCAGGCCTTATTCACATCTGCAGCCACACGCTCAGCACTGAACAGAGTCACTCTCTCTCCCTTCCCCCCCAGTGCTGGGGTTACAGCCTGGCTTGAGCCTGGTTCAAGCAAACCACAAACTTTTAAAATATTTACTTATTTAATTTTTACCTGTATGTATGTGCACCAAGTGAGTACATGGTGCCTGCAGAGGTCAGAAGAAGGTGTCAGATTCTTTAGGGTTGGTATTAAGGATGGTTGTGAGGGGCTGGAGAGATGCCTCAGAGGTTAAGAGCCATCTTCCAGAGGTCCTGAGTTCAAGTCCCAGCCACCATTTGGTGGCTCATAACCATCTGTAATGAGATCTGGTGCCTTCCCCTGGTGTGCAGGTGTGCATGCAGATGGAACATTGTCTATGTAATAAATAAATCAACAAAGCTTTTTTTAAAAAATGGTTGTGATCTACCAGGTGGGTAATGGGTTCCGAAACTAGATCTTCTGCAAGAGCAATAGGTGTTCTTAATTGCGGAGCCATCTCTCTAGCAGGGTCTATTCAATGGAATCCTGGGTTCCGACCTGTTGGAATCCCCAGTCAGCTGAGGGAAATCCAGTTTCTGTCCCAGAACTTTGCCTGATGGAGGAAACATAACCGTGTCCTTGGAGAAAACACTGCATGAACTGACTCACGTTCATCCGCTGCTGGACCCAGCGGCGCAGCCTCCACATTTTGGGTGTCTGAAGTCCTCTATAAGCGCCTTGATTAAGGGGGCCAGACAAGGAGAGCTGAGTCACTCTCCAGCACTCCTTCAGTGAGACAAGCCTTCTCCCCCTGGAGCCTGTCTGAAATGACTGCACAGGACTGTAGCCAGCCCAGGGATGTAGCTATAACTTGGCTCTCAACTTTCTCAAGTCCTACAATCAGAGGAAAGCCCTTATCCATTAGTTCTTCAAGCAATTCTGGGCTGAAGGTATAAACAAATCCCTCTGGAACCTCACATTCCTTATAACGGCTGGTTTACTCTGATTCCCCTCAACAGCCAGACCAACTCAGAATTCATATCCTGTCCAGAAAAAAATAGTTTTTCTTCTTGGATAGGAGGAATACCGCCAGGCTGGAGAGACAGCTCAGCGGTTAAGAGAACTCAGTGCTCTTCCAAAGGACCCATGTTCAAGTCCCAGCACCCACATGGCAGCTCACAACTGTCTGTAACTCCAAGATCTGACACCCTCACACAGACAAACATTCAGACAAACTGCCAATGCACATAAAATAAACTATTTTTAAAAAAAAAAAAAAAAAAAAAAAAAGGAGGGATTCCGTCTTCCTGCTTATACCCTGGATCCTCTGCCAGCTGGTCAGGTTTCCATGGTTTTTTGTTTGTTTGATTGTTTGTTTTTTATTTTTTTTTCTGGTGGGTGTAACAGGGTCCCCAAACTTAATAGGCCCCTAACACAACTGATGCATGATGGAAATACCACTCAGGACATAAGACTCAGCACGTAGGCAGCACCACCTGCCAAAAGAAAAATGAAGACTTAATCCATCTAAGTCCATGGTTCTGGAAAAGTCTCTAAATTTCTTTTCTTTCTTTCTTTTTTTTTTTTTTTTTTTCAGTAGTTCTGCTTCTGGCTAACTTCTTTCTGAGGTTTGTCAACCCAGGATATCATTTTTGTGCTTGAAAGCTTCACCCTGAGAAAGGTCCAGGGCTACACTGGGATTCCAAACACCCAGTATAGTTGCTGGCTGACTAACAAAGACTTTCTATTGGTTTAAACTAACCATGCCTGAGCAGTCTTCTCCGGTAGGTTCCCAGAGTGAATGGGGAATCAGCTCATCATTTGGGGCAGGAATGGGATGAAGCTAGTAAGCCCTCCTCCATGCCCCCATGACTGTTTTCCAGAATACAAGCCCTTCAGGGTTCTAGAATGTACTCAGGCCTGCCAAAAATCACACCAGAACATTTTGTATTTATTTGCCCTTTAATATTTACAGATGGGGACACCAAAACCCTAAGAAGTGAGTGATTTGCCCAAAGTCACCTAAACAGGTTCTTGTGTCTTATCTCCAGCATGACCAGATCTACCCCGAGACCCCGGGGATGACCCCCACTTCATCAAGCTCACCACCAAGCTCGGAACTGCTCCGCTGCTCCAGAGCTGGAGAGGGCGGTCGGCACAGACAGAGTCAACTCTTTACTCTCATCAGGAAGCAAAAGTGATCCAGGATGGATTCGACTTCCAGAAGCCAAACCCATGTGAAGTGGTTGCTTTAAGTTTTACCGGCATTCATCAATTAGCATAATAATGAGTTTGGTTGTGACATTTTCACACAGGCGTATACCGTACTTCCATCATTTCACTGCCCCATGCCCCTCTAGTGCCCCTACCACACACTTATCGCCTCCCTCTTCCCAGTTAGCCCCCTTTCAATTGTCATGCCTTTTAAATTAATTCCTTGGCGACCCAATGAGTTAAATTAGGATTAATTACAGGAGCATGGGTGAACCGTTTAATGTTTGCTTTTGAGCCGGTCTCAAATGTAACTCAGGCTATCCTGGAATTCACTACGTAGCCCAGGCTGGCCTCCGGGCCTCCAATGCACCGGAGCCCTCCCTCGGCTTCCCAGGTGTTGGGATTAGAGGCATAAAATACCACACCTGACTGGGCCATGAAGTCTTACGAAGGGGCCCAAATCCTCTGTCCCAGGAGTCTGAGTTCTGCAGTGATGCTACGTGGAGTCGCCCACGCAAAACACGGAAGTAGAGTGTTGAGGCTGAGCTGGCTGTGGTCTAAAGCAAAAGTGGTACAGAGACCAGCCGGGAGTCAGAGAGTGTGATCCTGGCTGCAGGGTGCTCTAGCCAGGGCTCAGCCGCTGTTAAAAGGTGTCTGGAGCGCGGAGGCCACGCCCAGTCCACGCCCCTCCCACAGCGGGCGGACACCGATGGGTCAGTCCGAGGGTGAGTGAGGGCGCGCAGCTCGCAGCCCGTCGGGTCGGCCGGGAGACCAGCGTGGCCATCTGCAGCTTCGCCATGTCGTCTGTGTTCGGCAAGCCCCGAGCTGGCAGTGGGCCGCACAGCGTGCCCCTCGAAGTCAACCTGGCCATCCTGGGGCGCCGCGGAGCGGGCAAGTCTGGTGAGTGGCGCGGGGCGCCGAGGATGGGGGCAGCTTCACGCGGCAGCTTCCAGGAGCTTGCTTCCCCCGTGGCTGGGTGAGTCCCTGTGACTTTGCTCTTTGCCTCAGTTTCTCTGTTGCCGAGCTCCCACTCACCTCGCCACTTTGTTCTCAGCTTCCCCATCGCTCACGTCTATCTTCAGCGGCTTGCCTGGCTCTTCCTCTGCCTCTGTTCTCCCGCCTGTGGTTCCTGCTGTCCCTCCACGAAACTGTCTCTCTTTGTGTTTCTCTCAGGTCCTCCACTCATCTCCATCCATGGGACCAGCAGCCAAGTGTTGTTAACTGACACTAGAGAGACCTGTTAACACTGGTCTCCGGCCCTGGGTCCCCTTTGAATTTAGTGGCATCCTTGCTACTCTTTGATCTGGGCTGTCCACCCCTTCACTACCTCCTCCAAGAGACTTGGTAGAAGTCAGTAGAGATTAGAATTTTTCAGGGTTGTGCCATTCCCCCGCTGCCAACCCATGGAACTCTGAAACAGACTTTTTTTTTTTTTTTTTTTTTTTTATCAAATATATTTGTTTCAAGCCAGACCCGTCTTGACTTTCTGGAAACACAAGACTATGGTCCTAGGTGCCAGGACTTGTCCTTGGGGAATCTGTGTCTTGGGCTACCACTGAGATAATTTCACTCAACCCTGAACCTTCATCACTTCTAAAGGCCACCACAGAGACCCCCAAAGGAATGTTTGCCCTGCTATCTGACACTCAAGGGCCAAAGACACAGATAGCTGAAGTTGGGTGGCCTGTGAGCTGTAGCTTTCCTTCTCCTTGGTTCTCTGAGATCCCCTGGGAAAGCCAGCAGCCCTGACTCAGAGGGGGACCCAGAGCATGGTTTTCCTTTGAAAACCAGCCCTTTTCCAGTGACTTAGTCAAGAGCATCGGTCAGCTAGCGACTACCTGGATGAAGGAATACTTGTTTATTTTTGATGCATTCTCATGAAGCCCAGGCTGGCCTGGAACTTGCTATGAAGCAGAGGGTGACCTTGCATTCCTGATTCTCCTGCCTCCACCTTCTTGTAAATAATGCACCGCTCTTTCTAGTTTCCGTAATGCTGGGGACGGAACCCAGGGCTTCACACGTGGAAGGCAGGCACTCTACCAACTAGGCTACATCCTCTGCACCAGAAGGTTTAAAATAAAGAACCCCGGCTAGTAGTTTGCAAATTGGCAGTGTTGGGAATCCTTCAAAAGAATCCTATGTTTATTTTTAATCCTATCCAGCGTCCAGCATAATATATTTGGCTGACCCTTGCCTTTATGTGGCTGAGTTCTGAACAGAAGCAATCCTGTTAGTGCACTCTACAGAGGAGAAATAACTACTTTTTCAAGTCTTATGTTCTCAAGAGCTACCCCAGAGGAGTGTGGAAATAACACGGAGAGCCAAAGCCCAAGGTGTAGAGGATTCAGACTAGAGTGTGTTTACTTGGGACACAACCTGTCCTGGACCTTGCCTGGATAACTCATGTCCTTGGGGCCTGGGGTGGGTGTCAGACCTTCCCAGGAATAGGCAGTCTGCTCTTCACTTACCGCAGTGCTTCTCAACCTTCCTAACGCTCCCACACTTTAATCTAGTTCCTCACGTTGTGGTGACCCCCTAACCATAAAATTGTTCTTGTTACTACTTCATTACTGCAATTTTACTACTGCTATGGATTGTAATATAAATATCTGTATTTTCTGATGGTCTTAGGCGACCCCTGTGAAAGAGTTGTTTGACTTCCAAAGTGGTTGAGACCCAGAGCTTGAGAACCACCAGCTTACTGTCTCTGGCCTGTAGCCAAAGCTGGAATAAATGCCACTTGCTGAAAAAAAAAATCAGTGTGCCCTGTTCTTAGTGGAAGACATGTCCCTTGAGTTGGGGGTCTCACCAGATGTCAGGATAACTAGATGTAGGGTCTTGTTCCCAGATTTGGGTGTTCTCAGACACCTCTTTGACACGCCTCTTGCTGCCTTTCTTGCTCATAGCAATTTTTAGAAAATAAGCCCAGGGTGCATGCAATTAGTGGGGCTTGACACTCCATTTCTGCGCCTTCTGAGCCAATTTGCCTGCTCTGCAGCCTGGGGCCCTTGGAGATCCACGCTTGCTGTCAGTCAGAGATTGGAGAAATCAACTAGGCCTCCTTAAAGTGAGAGGGACAGTGGCTTGGGGGCTAGCTCCAGACCCAGCAGGAGCCTGAGCCTACCTCTTTCTTCTTGCAGCCCTGACTGTGAAGTTTCTCACCAAGAGGTTTATCAGTGAATATGACCCCAATTTGGGTAAGAAGCCCCTCCTCTCTGGGCCACCTGCTACCTGGGCCCCACCTGGATGGGTATGCAAGGATCACTGCGCACATGATTCAGTGCGCAGCAGACGGCAGGGGGCAGGGGCGGGGGCAGGGTGGTCCGGCTCAAGGAACTGAGACTGCCTGCCTAAAACATGCAGTGCGACGAGACTTTAGAAGAATGTTTTGCTTTTTTTCTTAAATAGCAGAATGTCCACAACCAAATAGGCACAGTTGTTCAAAATGTTCACGCAGCGTTCTCCCCAGGACAGCCAGATGTGCCATTTAAGGGATTCTCTGTTGGTGCCAGACATTCTTTGAACCAGGAAACATTTGTTCTGTTTTAGGTTTTTAAGGTTATTTTATTTTATGTATATGAGTGGTTAGCCTGCATATGCATCTGTGCATCCTCCTATGTGTGCCTGGTGCTCACAGAGCTCAGAAGGAGGCATTTGATCTCCTGTGACAGCTGAGTGTGAACCACCACGCGGGTGCTGGGAACGGAACCTGGGTCCTCTGCAAGAGCAGCAGGCGTCCTCAACCACCAAACCCCCTGCTAAGCTTAGCTGTGGGAGCTGTGTTTGAATGCTGGCTCTGACATTCACTGGCTGGGTAACTTTGAGACAGTTACTTAACCTTTCAGGGCTACTCTTTCCCCCTCTGCCAAAGGAGCACAGAGGTAGCTGTACCAGAGAACTGCTGTGAGGACTAAAGACCCAACGCCTGTCAGGCCAGTGCTTGGCCGCAGTAGGGTCTCGGAGCACATTCGCTTTTCCTCCTCAAATGGCTTCCCATGCATGCTGCTGGGGGTCCCTCTCATGTGCCAGATCTGTGTTGTGAAACTTATTTTTAACAGAGGGGTCATCCCCTAAAATAAACTCTCACACGGGACCCTAACGCCTAAGACAAGCAAAGTTAGAATCTTATTAGCATCGAAGTCACTTCTAGCCCATGTTTATAACATTTTTATTTATAAACTGTCCAAATGAGCTTAGCTCTTTGAAAACGATGTTGTTTCCCCTTTCGTTAAAATCAAATAAAGTGTTGGTGAAGCCCCGAGAGCCCCCACAAGGATGCACAGGACTCTGAGTCACAAGATAAGACCCCGCTCTGCTGCACTGCCCACAACAGGCTAGAAGTTCATCCGGCTTGGAACACAGAGGAGGAAGAGAGCGCTCAGGGCTACGGCTACTGTATTTATTTATTCTGAGACTGGTTATCACATAGCCCAAGCTGGCCTTTAAGCGGTCAGTGTGGCCAAGAAATCGTGATCAGAAATCCTTCTGCATCTACCTCTGAAGTGCTGGGATTATAGGTGTGTGCCACCTTGCCCAGTTTATTCTGTGCTGAGGCTCAAACCCAGGGCTTTGTGCACACTAGGCAAATGCTCCAGCAGCTGAGCTGTACCGCCAGCCCCTGTATTTATTTATTTTTCTGGCCATCTCTTCTTCCTTGCTCTCCATCCATACCATTTCATAGGACCCCAACAGACGATTCCGGTAAGGTGGTGGCTTGTGCTTCCTGACTGAGCACTTTTGGAACCCTGATGTGATATTAGAACATGTGATCAGACTATCTGAGGTGGATGGGGCGGCACCTCAGTCTTTGGCCTCGAATTCTCCTGAGAGCCTATTAGCTCGAAGGTAGCTGCTCCTAGTTCAGACACCCTGGCAGGCCAGACTGTGAGGCCCAAGCCTCTCCTATGGAAGAGAGTCTGGGCATGTAACGGGAGGGGTGCCTCAGGCACAAGTGGCTAAAACAGCTCTTTGGTCTTTCCTAGGGGCTCCCAGGAGCCTGAGCACATGCTGGGGCCTTCGAGGTGGAACACCATCTGCATTTCAGCCTGATGTGCGATAGTAGCTGCAGTTTAGATGGTCTGGCCTGTGGGGCTGAATTGGTTTTGGATTCTGTTTCAAACAATTATTATCAGCCAGGTGGTGGTGGCTCACGCCTTTAATTTTAGCACTTGGGAGGCTGAGGCAGGTGTATCTCTGTGAGTTAGAGGCCAGCCTGGTCTACAGAGTGAGTTCTAGGACAGTTAAGGCTATATAGAAGGACTCCGTCTATATATATATATATATATATATATATATATATATATATATATATATATATATATATATATATATATATAATCATCTCCATTTTCTTTATTTTTAAAAGACTTATTTATTATTTATATAGTATTTATTTATCTACTATTCTGCCTGCATGTGTGCCAGCAAGCCAGAAGAGGGCACCAGATCTTATTATAGATGGTTATGAGCCACCAAGTGGTTGCTGGGAATTGAACTCAGGACCTTTGGAAGAACAGCCAGTGCTCTTAACCTCTGAGCCATCTCTCTAGCCCTTATCTCCATTTTCTAAAAAAGAAACTGAGGCAGAGAGGATGCAGTGACTATCATAACATCATTCCCCAGGTTCAAAGGAAATAGAAGGTCCATCTACTTCCTGTGAACTATGGTTTATGGGCCCAGAAGGGGAGGTATGTGAGACACTGGGCATTCTGAGCCTCAGTTTTCCCATATGGAAAATGAGAATGTGTTGTCTGTGTTGGTGTCGTGTCTTGCTGTGAGCTATGGCCAGAGCTGCTAGGAGCTAGAGACTACAGACAGAAGGTCTCTGCCAGTGCTCTGCCCTGGGTGGGGCAGGGCCTCCAGGGAATGTTCTTGCCTGGCTTCTCCCAGGTACAATGTCAGCTTCTTACCTCATTTGCCTCATCCTGTTCCCTCAAGAACATGGACACTCGTCATGTCTGAGGTGCCGCCTGATGTACAATCTTATAGGACCTCTTTGGTGCCTTTCATAAAATTATTTGAAGGACATGAAAGTACCCAGCAGGAAGGCAAGCTCTACACAGTGATGCCTGGGGAAGAAGCTGCCATTCTAGCTCCTAGGCCCAGTCACCCAATGACCTGAGGCTTCATCCAACTTGCATATCTGTGCTAGAATTCCTACTGAATAGAAATTCAGGTCAAACATAGTTGGAGGACCAGGAGATTCTTCATTAGTTAGGGAGTAAGAGGGTCACAGTGGGGAGGCAGCCCAGAAGGCCCAAGTTCAAGTTCATCCCCTGCCCCCACTACCGGGAATTAAATGAACCCTGCGTGTTTATCATTCACGCTAGGCAAGCATTCCACCATTGAGGTTTATCCCCAGCCCCTCCCCACCCGCCATTTTAAGGATCTCACTACATTGTCAAGGCTTGCCTTGAACTCACTCTGTAACCCAGACAGGGCTTGACCTTGCAATCCTCCTGCCTCATCAGCCTCCCAAAACAACCTAGTCATCTTTCTTCCTCTGCTAGTGGAGCTAGTGGAGCTAGCAGAGGATCTGGCAGGCTCTTGGGTAAGGGAGTTCCAGGGAGATTAATGCTTGTCACTAGGTTGGTCAAGACTTTGCCTGCTTGGACTGAGTGCCTAAAAGGCAACTTTGGTAGAAAAATAAAAAGTATGAACACAATGTAGGCATCGGCGACAGCTCTTCTTGAGCCAAATATAGTTAAACATTTGGGGCATATTTTCCATTCTTTTTTTTTTCCTTCTTCTTCTTTGGATAAGAGCAGCTATTTATCCAAGTCCCCAAAGCAGGCTGGGGACGAGGAACTGTCTGTGACTCATGTTGGATGCTAGTGGACCTGGCATGTGTCCAAGCCGCTTGGCTGCCAGCAGAGAGAAGTGTGTGACTACATTCAGCCAGGGCTAGGGGTGCTGTTCTCACAGTGGCCACTGCCGGGGAGGCAGAACACCTCAGTTATGCTTGGGGGGGGCGCCCAGGAAAAGGTGGGAACTCAGTGTTCTCACATACATGTACCAGCAGCACAGAGAAGGTAGGGAGTGAGAGAGGCAACTGTCAGCATGCCAGGGATGGTTTCCGTGTGCCTGACGACATTCTGATTTCTTGGGTTTAAAGTCATTAGAACTAAAAAAAGAAAAGAAAAAAAAAAAAAAAACTGGTGAAATCCAAATAAGGTCAGCAAGTTAGTTCACAGAACAGAACCAACATCAATTTCCTGGTTTGGCGATTGTGCTGCGGGTTATATGAGGTGTTAACCCTGAGGGAAGCAGGATAAAGAGCACGTCGGAGCTGTGTGAGCTTGTAACTTCTATTACAGTTTAAAATCATTTCTCCACAAAATAAGCGGGTGTGAGGGCTACGGGTATAACCCAGCCAGGAAAGCGCCGGCCATACAAGCATGCGGGCCTGATCGGACCCTCAGCACCCGTGTTTCCGGTTTGTTGGCATACATCCGGGGGAACAGAGGCAGGTGGATCTCCAGAGTGCAATGGTCAGTCAGCCAGTCAGAACTGGTGAAAGACCATGGCTCAAAAAGTGGGGGGAGCTGGGGAGGCGACTCGGTGATTGAGAACGCTTGCTGTTCTTTCGGAGGACCCCAGTCCTGCTTCCAGCACCCGTATGGGATGCGCACAACCGCTTATGACTCTAGTTCCGGGAAATCCAGTGTTCTCTTCTGGCCTCTTGGGCACCGGCACACATCTGGCACATAGGCACATGGGCGCACGCACACACAGAGATACACACATACATGTAAACAAAAACACATGTAAAATCTCTTTAAAAAATACTAAAGTGAGCCAGGCATGGGGGGGGTACTCCTTTAATCCCAGCACTCAGGGAGGCAGAGGCAGATGGAGCTCTGTGAGTTTGAGGCCAGCTTGGTATACTATGAGAGTCCAGGACAGTCAAGGCTACACAAAGAAACCCTGTCTCAAAAACCAAATAATAATAATGATAATAATAATAGTGGAAATTGCTGGAGAAGATGCTGGATGTCAAACTCTGACCTCCACACGTGTGGTCCATACATAGACCACATACTCGTGCAAATAAAAACAAAAGGAGAAAAAAATTGCCTGGGAATGTGGACCTGTCCTGTTACACCATTTCTAGATATTTATTATGGGCCAGGCCCCAGCTGGAGGCCTATGTAGTCTTCCCACAGTCCTCACTCAGGGGCCAAGCCAAGCAGAGTGAAGGCTTGAAAACCATTAGCTCTGCCTGGAAAAGAAGTGGTGGCACAGGCCTTTAATTGCAGCGCTTAGGAGGCAGAGGCAGGCAGATCTCCGAGTCTGAGGCCAGCCTGGTCTACAGAGCAAGTTCCAAGGAAGCCAGGGCTATACAGAGAAACCCTGTCTCAAAGAAAAAAAGAAAGAAAGGGGGAAAAAAAAGAAAGAAAACTGTTAGCTCAAGTTATCATAATGTTTCCACTTTAAAATGGGAAAGTACCCCGAGAGTTGAAGCGATGTGACTAAACCAGGTAGCTGAAATGCAGCTGAAGTTGGCTTTGGGGGAGGGGTGCAGTGTATGTGGTGTGTGTGTGTGTGTGTAAGTTTACATGTCTGTGTGCATACAGAGGTCAGAAGAGGCATCAAGCATCTTGATCGGTCACTTTCTACTTTAGTCCTTGGAGACAGGGTCTCCATGAGCCCAGGCACATGCCCCAGGGACCCTCATGGGCTGGGATTTTATAAAAAGCTGACTGGCTTTTTATGTGGGTGCTGGGGACTTGAACTCAGGTCTTCATGCTTCTGTAGCAGTCACTCCTCCCCACTGAGCTCTCTCCCGTTTCCCTGAAGTTAGCTTGGATTCTACATCACCTTGTCTATTTGATAAGGATGGCTTATAAAACCTTAGAACATCTAAATGAGGTCTGGCTGGCCCCTCTCCATCACATCCTAAGCTGCTCTTTTCCCTTGTCCCCTCCTGAGGGAAGAAGTCATCATAGGGCCAAGCACTATGGTGGGTGGAAAAGACAGTGGAGAAAATTGGGGTTCTTGGAGGAAGCACCAGGCCTCAGTTGCTGGGCCACACACTCCACACTACAGGCTTTGTACGTGGATCCAGAAACAACCTGTTCCCTGGGCGTAGTATATAATGGCCTCTGATGCTTCAAGCCTGACAAACAAAGAAGGCCATGGCCTGGTAGCAGCTCCCAAGGCACAGTCAAGGCTACGCTGGAGTCCAGCACAGAAGGAAGCAGGGACATTGACCTTGTCCTTTATTGAGTGGCCTGCCAGGCCTCTGACCTGGCTGACCATCTGTGTTGCAGAGGACACCTATAGCTCTGAGGAGACTGTGGACCACCAGCCTGTCCACCTGAGGGTCATGGACACTGCAGACCAGGTAACATTACCCCCACTCCCTCAGTCCCCCAGAGAGGGCAGACAGGCAGTGCAGCCCCCCTCCCCAAGCCCAGACCTTGCAAGTTGGGTATGGATCCCTTTAGGCTCCAGTTTGCTGTGTGGCCCTGAATGGGGCTGACTTTTCTGGGCTTGAATCTTTCGTTTGCTAAATGAGAAGGGTGATTGCTGACATCGGCCCAGATACCCTAAGCTGCAAGGCTTTCCCAGCATACAGGTGCATGTCCTTTTACACAAACACTCCTACTGAGAGCCTGTCACCCCGAGTCTCCCCAACATCTCTCTCCATATCCCCTCTACCCACTGTGGGAGTCAAGTCTCAGAGGCCAAAGGGGCAGTATGGACCTGACCTGAAGCCAGCAGTGCCCAGGGACAGCAGGTCCTTGGAGAGCCATGCCAGGATCTTTGACTCAGTGCCCAAGTGGCCAAGGTCTCCAAGTCTCTGGCTGGGTGGTGGGAGGGAGTTCATGAGACAATGAATCCTTTCACACCAAGCCAAATCGCCACTGAAGTGCTCCTTTGAGAAGGGATCTGCTGGGGGACAATGTAGAGACTCGGGAGGTGGAGAGGGCAGCCCAGGTGAAGGCCTTGCCCCCAAGTTCTTCTGCCTCTGAACTAGGCTCCTCTCCTCTCCAGGACACCCCCAGGAACTGTGAACGCTACCTGAACTGGGCCCATGCCTTCCTAGTGGTGTATAGTGTTGACAGTCGCCAGAGTTTCGAGGGCAGCAGTAGCTACCTAGAGCTGCTGGCCTTGCATGCCAAGGAGACTCAGCGTGGCTACCCTGCCCTGCTGCTGGGCAACAAGCTGGACATGGCCCAGTACAGGTGAGCGGAGGCATCTGCAGCCAGATGCGGGACGACATCCCTGGGGATTACTGCTGCCAAGTCGAAGTGCCCTCAACTTCGGGTAAAGGGTCTATACTGGGGGAATGCACCAGCATCTGTCTGCTAGGCAGCCAATGACAGGAAGGGAAAGACGCCGGGGCCACTTAAGACATGGGCTGGGCCCCCAAAAGGCAAAAAGAAGGCACCCCTTCCTTTCGGGTGTCTTGGTGGTCTCTTACTTCAGCCTTGTCTGTGACTGTGTCACCCTCCCAGCAGCCCATGGGAGTCCAGGCCCAAGGAGAGGGTCTAATCTGCTCCTTGGATCTGGTGTCTACTGTGGCCCAACCAGCCCTCACCTCATCCTCAGCCGTCTGTCCTCAGCCATCACCTCAACCCAGGCTTGTTGCCACAGTTGGCTGCTGAAGGCAAGCCTCTCTTAGAAAGGCTTGGATCTGAACCAGAGGTCACCGACTGGGCCAGAGGGCAGATCCCCACACAGCGCAGCAGCCGTATTTTGCTTGGCTGGCACAATGTTTTAAATGACTTAGAATTGGAATGCTTTAAGGTGGGGCGTGCTCTCTTCAGCTGACCACAGGCCCTGCCACTCCCTGTGGTCTCTACCTCCATCTTCTCCATACATCCAAGTCAGCCTCCTGGCGCTAAGGCCCTTGACACCAAGGCCTACCCTTGAGCAATCCCAATGAAACTCTCCAGTGTGGACATTGTCCCATGTGGCCAGCACACCTGCTAGGTGTGGCACCTTCCACTTGTCCCTTTCTGTCCTCAACTTGTTCCTGCCGTCTCAGACCCCAGAGGCCCAGGGACCGATGTTGGGATTTTTTTCAGACTAGGTCACACAGGCAAGGGGAGAAGAGAGTTGTGGTTTCCTGAGAAGTAACCATGCTGGTATGGGGCTTTCTCCATGGGTGGTCCAGCCTTCAGCCCAAGAAAAATTGCATCCTGGGGAATAAGGGAAGTTGTACACTGGGTCAGTCGCTGAAGGTGGTCTTTGCAATATCTCAGACCTTGGAAGAGAGAAGACTAGACTGTGACTCATGTAAATGTGCATGGCGGCCATGGGAGAAGGGTGACTACAGAATATTGTTTTGACCCTAGTGTTTACTAAAGAGACTGCTGAGAAATGGTCTGCAAGCGAGTGGCCAGGAATCCAGGGCTTTGTTGAAACACCCTGTTCCCGTGATGATTTACCCTACTTCCTTTCCAGTCGAGTGCACTGACAGAACAGGGTTTGGTGGCACACTAGGTCTTCCGTCCCCTTGCCCCTGCCAAATCCGCCTTGCCCAGAAACTTCTCCCCACTACTTCTTTTTTCATTTTTATTTTTATTAATTATTTTAAAGATCTATAATATAGACACTGCTCTGCCTACATGCCTGAAGAGGGCATTAGATTACATTATAGATGGTTGTGAACCACCATGAGGTTGCTGGGAATTGAACTCGTGACCTCTGGAAGATCAGTCAGTGCTCTTAACCTCTGAGCCACCTCTCCAGCCCTCCTCATTACTTCTAACCTAGGCATCTGCTCCCATCTTGGGCTGTGCTATGATCCTAAGGAATGGTTGCTGGGGCAGCTTATCAATGCGTGGTAATGACCAGCATTCAGTGGGTATAACCTTGACCTCAAGACCCGAGGAGTCCCAGTCCCGAGAGTATGCCAGTCATGGGCTTCCCAAGTGATCCCAGGGGTGCAAGCAACTGCTCTTTACTAGAATTAGTCTCTCAAGCTGGGGCTGAGGATGGCCAGTCCTGAGGAGGAGAGCAATGGCCTTCTTCCTCTTGTCAGAGGCAGGGTCTAGCACGGGATAATTTGACTCAGCTTTTCTCTTTTCCTCACTTTCATTCTTAAATTCCAGCTTTGGCAATCGAGGGCTAAGTCTGTGCCAGGTACTATGCTAAGCACTTCATGCAAATTGTCTTAATCAGTCCTAACAGCCCCAAATGGATGCAGGTACCATTATCCTGTCTTACTGATGAGTAAACAGATTCCGAGGGTGAAGATGGGCCTGGACCACTGGGTGGGGTGATGGGTATGGGCCCCTCCCTGCCTGACTTGGGAAGATACTCTTCTGACTGCCTCACCCCCTTCTTCACCAGGCAGGTCACCAAGGCTGAGGGTGCAGCTTTGGCAGGCAGGTTCGGATGCCTGTTTTTTGAGGTCTCTGCCTGCCTGGACTTTGAGCACGTGCAGCACGTCTTCCATGAGGCGGTGCGCGAGGTACGACGGGAGCTGGAGAAGAGCCCCCTGTCCCGACCGCTGTTTATCCCTGAAGAGAAAGTGCTGTCCCACCAGACCCCGCTCACAGCTCGGCATGGGCTGGCCAGCTGTACTTTTAACACTCTCTCCACTATCAGCCTAAAGGAGATGCCCACGGTGGCCCAGGCCAAGTTGGTCACTGTGAAATCATCCCGTGCCCAGAGCAAGCGGAAGGCACCCACCTTGACCCTACTGAAGGGCTTCAAGATCTTCTGAGGGCCATTCTACAGGAACCTTGGGCTCAGCCGACACTTGGGGCTTCAGGGAAGGGCCTGGTTTGTCCTCTGATGAACCAATGGCCCTTGCCCTGTGGCAGATGGCAGACTCCACCTCCAGCATCAAGCAGGGTCCCTACGTGCTCACAGTGTGAGAAAGAGGCCCATGGAGGGATTCTGTTCTGAGTCCCTGCGGGCCTCGTCCTCCATGGTAACCTCTGCAGTCACCACCCTGGAAGGAAGCTGTCTCTGTTACAGACAGGAGAGCCGGAGTGAGCTGCAAGCAGAAAGGAACTGCTGTGCCCGTCTTGCATCATGACTCTTGCCTGTGCCAACCATGCCAGGCCAGCTGCAGGCCCTGTTCAAAGAAGCTTTATCTATGTGAAGGCTTGTAACAAGCTACAGGATGGCTGGCCCCGAGGTCCAACTGTCACCTGATGGTAGGATGAGGTAGGGCAGCTGTTCAGATGCCCGAAGCTGGTGCCTCCCGTGCCTTCTGACCTCTCAAAATCCTGGACTACAAACCCTACAGTTTCTCCAGAAAAATGTAGTTTAAAAAGTTCTTATGTGAAAGTTTCGATAGGGCAAAGAAATCTGGACAAGAGCGTTTGATCACTTGGCCCTCAGTGAAGGGCGCAGAGAGGGGCTGTGGGCTGTCCGGGCTAGGGAGTCTCCAGCATTTTTTTTTTTTTCAGCAGAATTTGGGAGACTCTTGTGGCCACTTTATTAGTAAACCCCACCCAGAATCACTCTTCCCGAGCGTAGTGACCAAGGCTGCAGAAAGTCATTCTACCCAGTGATGGTCCTCGGGGAGCCCTCCCTGGCAGGGCCTGGCACTCTCTGGTGGGCACTGCTGGCCTGCCCACCGTTAAGTAGGTGCAATCTGATTTGGTTGGGATTGTTCAAAGCCCAGTTTGGCAAGATAGATCCCAAAGCATTTGGGGTTGATAAGGCGGACTTGTACATAAGCTATTTGGTATTTTATCAAGGCTCAGATGTGAGAAGGCTACTACAGGCAGGAGCTATAAGCTGTTTCTTTCTTTTAACCAGAACTCTGGGTGAGCAGGCCCAGGAGGGTATTTTAGAAGGACTGGGCCAGGCACCTGAGCCTGGGAAGCCAGCTCCTTCAGCTCCCAGCCAGCAGCCCCAGGAGCTTGGACTGAGAATATCTCTAACCCAGTTTTCAGCTCTGTTTTTTTTTTTAGCTGTAGAAGCTGGCCCTGTGTCCTCACCAACAGGCCAGCTCTGAACTTTATCTTTTTTTGTTTGGTTGGTTGCATTTTGAGACAAGGTTTCTCTATTATGTAGCTCTGACTGTCCTGGAACTTGCAATGAAAACCAGGCTGGAGTTGAACTCACAGAGATCCACCTGCCTCAGCCTTCCGAGTGCTGGAATTAAAGGCTTCCACCTCACGCGGCTGAACTTTGTACTTTTGATGCAAGCTGCTTGTGTGTGCTTAGCAGACCACCATTGTTTGAACCAATTATGCAATTCCAACTGCCCACCTGGAGAAGCATTTTAATAAAAGATTTTTTTTAAATAACAAATTTTCATCTGATTGTAGTTTGTTTATTGTGTCTGCTAAAAATAAGTTAGGCTGCTTGTGTGTGGGGGGGTGCTGTCTAACCTGAGGAGTTTGAGGCCCCGAAGCTGAGCTCAGATCACAGTCACGTGTCTAGCTAGGATAGCATATTCTCTCGATGCTTCCTAGCTCTCGGTTTCCTGTGGGTCCGGTAGAAAGACCAGTGGCACGTCTTTCTCGTTCAACCCAGTTTCCCCCGGGGCCGCGTCTGCAGTCCCTGAGATAAGCGTCTCTCTTAGGTTGCTCAGACTGCTGTTTTCTTTCATTCCGGAACCGTGTAGGTGCGGGTCTTCTGGTGCTTCTTTGTCCTGTGGCTGCTTCTTTCGATTTCTGGGGGGAGAGGAAATAGTGTTGATGGGGATGCTGAGTGGCTGGGTCGGGACTCAAAGGTTAGCTCCCAGGAGTTCCGCTGTTCAGCAGTGACAATGGCTCTGAAAGGCTCCCACTCTCACGCCTATCACCTCACTGCAAGGCCACCGGACCTTGCTCTGATTGCCAGCCCTTCTTCTTAGAGATGAGGATAGGATGTCAAAGAAGCACAGCCCTTGTACGTCTAAGTCTACCCATTCTGAGTCCTGGGACTTTTCACCAAACCACGCTCTCCTGACCCCGTCATCATACTTAGCATATGTCCTCATCTGCCCTGCTCTAGCCCTGAGATGCTGCCTGAAATCCCTAACTAAGCTTCCATCTCTCCATCTACTCCAAACTTGTTTACCCACACCCCTGGCCACGCACGTAAGACCCACTCACATGTGGTCTCCACTGCCTCCTCCCTCAACCTGATAGCCTTTCCAGTAACTCCTGAAAATCTCTCCTTAATTCAAGCCGGTTCACTCAAGGAGCTCCAGGACTCCCTGGCCACGGTAAAAGGAACTGAGTACCACATAACGTGCCTGGTCCACAGGGAAGCAGGCCTGTACCTGCTGTTACTATGGACAACCCCCCTGCCTCTCAGCTGAGTTTGCTGAGAGGAATGCTTTCTGACAGGGTAAGAGGGCCCAGGACCACTTAAAGGATGACTCCCTTCTGAGTCATTCCAACTTGTTGGCCAGGCGAGGGGATGGTAACGGGGGAAGGGGGCAGCTGCTGGGTTGTTTGTTTGCTAGCTTTGGTCCCTGATGGCTGCCACGGAAAGGTGAAGAGCTGATTTCACGAAGCGACATCTTCTTAGATCGCCGTCCAGGAAGGAAGGCCCTCTCCTTCTGGAGACCTGCTCCAGACCAACGTCTCACCTGTTTGACAGGATGCTCCTCCTCAGGAGGACCATGCTTATCACCACCACCAGGACGGCCAGAACCAGCATGGAATAATTCCAGGGAGCCGCTGAGGAGGGAAACACAGAGAGACAGATCCTCAAGCAGAGGCCGGGCCACTCAGGCCCACCCACCCATCCCAGAGCATCATTGGTCCCTTGCTATGGAGACACCCATCAAGACTCTATGCTGGGGTGGGGGCAGGTGGATGGGGTGGAGACAGGGTCTCTGCTCTGGACCAGCCCTGATCCTAGGGGGGAGGCAGCGCCATGTCTGGATAATAGCTGGGTAAAGAGGGTGTGAGTGGCAAGGAGGAGGTGGGCCACCTTGAACTTCAGTCTTCAAGTTTACTGCCTTTAGGAAAAGAAGGGAAAGAGGAGAGAAGGGGAGGGGAGGAGTGGTGACAGTCTAACAGGATGCAGGGACTGCCACCGCGGGTAGCAGGTAAAGGTGGCAAAGTGGCTGCAGTGAGGCAGGCTTTGGGCTCACGGCTTTTATTTCCCCTCTAGCAGGAAATCCCCCCCATGCCCCCACCACCATGTTGAGGTTCAAGTTAGGATCCCTCACATGGCAGGCACTCCACCACTGAATATCAAAAACTTTTTAGATTTTGAGATAGGGTTTTGCTAAGTTGTCCAGACTGGACTTGAGATCACTGTGTGGCTCAGGCAGGCCTTGAACTTGTGGCTGAGCCTCTTGAGTAGCTAACGTTGAGGGCCTGTGCCACCAGTCCCAGCTTGCTTCTTTTGTTCTATGCACCAGGAAAATGTTACACTTTTAGTTGTATGTCCTCTACGGGAGTGGACACTGTGTGGGCAGACTCGTATTTGTCCACCGCTGTAACCCCAGTGCTCGGGGCAGTGCCTGCCACCCAGTACAACTTGATAAATAGCAGAGGAGATTGACAGGTGATTGACAGCCGAGTGAATGGCCAATACCCCGAGAAAAGGGGAGTGAGCAGGCTCAGCTCTACCCTTCTGATGAGGTCCGGTCTCACTCCCTTTTGAAAAAACATGCCACTCGGCGGAGAAGAGGGGACAGCGTCGAACTGCTTCACCCACCATCACCTACCATCTTCTACACGAAAAACCCAGACCATTTCTTCCAGCAGTTCCTGGGACACCTCAGGGCTCGCTGCAGCCTCCTCCGCGCTGTGGTCCATGTCCCTGCTCCTGGTTGAGATGTTCCTGGCCTGTGAACAGACAGGTCCTGAGGCCCCAGGCGTCTGCCTGGCCTCCCAGGTTCTGGTCTCTGAGCCGCTGGTCTACCTTTCCTCCTTGCCCAAACAGGCAGCCTTGGAGCCTACAGTTTTAGGGCTGAAAGAGCATGAATCAAAGCCGACTGTGGGAGTAAACGCCATGATGATGGTCAAGAGACTGAGACAGGAGGATCACTGGGCTAGTTCGAGGCCTGGGTATCAAGGAGGGATCCAGGCCAGCATTAGCTACATAGAGACACCCTGTCACAGTTAACAATTGGTAGGCAGGTGGAATGAAAGTTCCTTGAGAGAAGCGCACCTTACGAAGTTGCCCACTGACTAGAACCTCTTATGGGGCTGGAACATTACAGGTGCAGAGCCAAATCATCTTGAGCCATTTTTAGCCCCCTTGATAACCATTTATTACCTGTATCTTTGTGGCTGTCAGGTAGATCCCTTGGAATGTGCAAACAGACCCTACCACTACCCCTTCTACTTCCCAGAAGGCTAAGAATGTGGCCCTGGAGCATCTGGGACTACAGCAGAGCACCCCTGCTTTCCTCTAACCTGCCTCCCGATGCTTTCCCCGATGCACTTAAAAACTGTCTTGACTTGTTCTATTACTATAAAACGTCAGGAGGCACTTGGGGGGCAGAGGCAGGAGGATCTCTGTGAGTTTGAGGCCAGCTTGGTCTCCACAGCAAGGTCCAGGACAGCCAGGGCTGCATACTGAGACTCTGTCTCAAAACGACAATAACCTTCGTGAAACTTCTACCACTTGGAATGCAGAATTTAGATTACCTGAGATCTGTGTTCCTGGGCCACGGCGCCAGGATGAACCATTTCTTATTCCCTTTGAGGTGAGATTTGTGGGGTTTTTGTTTGTAGTAGCTAGATAGGTAGCTAGAAACATATACACATAGATGGATACATAGCTAAATGCGTGGAAATAGTAAGTCTCAGGAGCAGGTGGGGCTAAAGTCAGGAACCACAGAGGAAGGAGTGACTCAAATCTAGGAAAGTTCATAGTGTGCAGGGAAGGAGCGTTAGGCCAGTGTGAGGCTGAGCCACTGGCGGGCTGAGGGCTCCCTTACAGCAGACACCCTTGCTTCTGCCAGTCCTGCTGCCCCTACCCACTTTAACCTAATTACCCCACTCAACTCCCCCTCCCCCCGAGGTAGCCAGTCACAGGCCAGTGTCTCTCCACACGACAAAGCCTGGCCTCTCCTGGTCTCCCTCTGGGGACTGGCACATCTGCTGCCCACAGCTGGGCAGCAAGCTGGAAGAGCCCCGGATGGGCGGTTGTGGGGTGACGCTGTGGAGAGGCGCCGAGCACTAGACTGCGTTGGTAACCGCTACCCTTTATGCGCTACTCAGAGAACTGTTTCTTCTTTTTCTTTGGGGGGCTAAGTGGCGTGGAATGGGGTGGGGAAATGACCAGAACTAGTTTCTGTTGTTGGCAAGAGAAGAGCATAAACCACACACCCTGAGACGGTCCCTTAGCTTGAGTCTGTCCCTGGGAGATAGAGTAGGTGAATCTAATCAACAGAATCCCAGGTGTTTCAGAACAGCCGCACGTGTCCACATGTTCACAGGGTAAGGCAGTGTTTGGATGTGAACATGTGTGACTGTTCTGATACACTGCCTTACTACGTCACCCAAGATTTTCCCGACCCATATTTAAAGAAACAGTGAGGTCAATTTTGTTTTTGCTTTTGCTTTTTGGAGACACAAGGTTTCTCTGTGTACTCTTGGCTGTCCTGGAACTCACTTTGTAGAGCAGCAGGCTGGCCTCAAATGCAGAGATCCTCCTGCCTCTGCCTCCTGAGTGTGGGGATTAAAGATGTGCACCACCACGCCCAGCTTTTTGTTTGTTTGTTACAGTGAGGTTCATTATGACAGCATATTTCATCGAAGACAGTAAGTACACTGAGAGTATTGTTTCAGCGTGACTGGTGTAAAGTTATTGAAGTGTTTTCCGTTTTTTAATACTGGACCTTTGAAATGGGTGTGAACTTTATGCTTGTAGAATGCTTGTCTCGAAGCCCGCTAGCCACATTGCAGGTGCTCAGTAACAACATGGGGCTGGTGGCTATTGGCCTGGGCAGTCCAGGCCGTGGGCAGCCTCTGGTCCTCCTGACTGCTCTGCCGGTTCTTGTCATCTACAAGAACTTATAATCAAAAATGTTAAAACCTTACATTTTAAATAAGTTTACAGTTTGGTGTAAGACCCCATTCATAGCTGTTCTTGACAGCACGTGGCCTGTGGGTTCCAAGTTGAGCATCCTGGTAACCAAGAATACAAAACACGTGTGATGAAAATTCCAATTCTGGGTGGGTGAACTGGCTCAGCTGGCAAAGGTGCTTGCCACGAAGCCTGACAGCTAAACTGAGTTCTAGTCCCAGGCCCCTCATGGTGGAAGAGAGCCAATTCTCACAAGCTGTCCTTTAATCTCTCCATGTATGCCATGGCATGGACGCACCCACACCCCAAATAACTGTAATAAAAGCTTTAACTGCCTTCAAGGGGAACAAGCTCGACCACTTACCAAAACTGAAAACAACAACAACAACATATGCACAAAACAACACATTTTACTAGAACTGTTAAGGGGCACGTTAAACACACACGGATAGTTGCCTCTGAGGGAGGAAGAAAGGTCGAATAAAAATCAGAGAAAATTAAAAATAAGCACCTGAAGACATAAAACAGGAGGTGTGGAAGAGAACTGTCATGAATTCGAGTCCTGAGCCCTCATGAGAGCCACCGAGGGCAAAGAGATGGCATGGTCCCAAGTGCAGGCGTCTACCCCTCTGCTGAGACAGCCAGGAGCTTTCTTAAACAACTGAATGACAGACAGCCAAAGGGCAACAAAAGAACCAAGGCCTCTTGAAAAAAAAAATCAACAGACTGGAAGAAAATATTTTGACACAAATATAAGAGTTATCTGTTCTTAGATGTGAATATTCACTCATGTGTCTAAGCAAGTGTGAATTGTGGGGAAAAGGAAAGACCTTTGGGGGGCTGGACAGGTAGCTCAAGGGTTAAAAGCAAGTACTGAGCACATAAAGCAGAAGTTTCTCAACCTGTGGGCCGCAACCCCTTGGTGTCACATATCAGCTATTTTGCATATTGGGCATTTAGGTTAGAATTCATAACAGCAGCAAAATTACAGTCATACAGTAGTGGCAAAATGATTTTATAGTTGGGGGTCATCGGTAGTAGCACTGGGAAGGTTAAGAACCAGTGCTATGAAGAAACTAAGTTCAATTCCCAGCACCTATGTGGAGGTGGTTCCAGAGGATCCAGCTCCCCCTCCTGGTCTTTAAAAGTACCTGCACACATATGCACATACACACAGGCACACATACAAATAATTAAAAATAAAATAAATCTTACAAAACATGAAGACCTTAAAGACATTTGAGGACTCAGATACCCACTTTCAACTTCCTTGATTTGAGGGGTGTAATAGAAAATACAAAGAGAACGGCTAACCAATGGGATCTGCGGTTTCCTCCAGGTGGCTGTGCAGAATGCCACCAGAGAAGAACGAGGCAGTCTGCCAGCCGCAGCGCCTGGGTTAAAATGCCAGGTTAGCCCTGCTCCCTATCCCACAGGTAGAGAAGATTGTGGCAGTCTGGGGAGCAGACACTGTCGCACTCTGAGGACTGTGACAAAGCCCAGACACTGACCTTGAAAACTTCTGTGCTTACTTCTTTTGACTATGCCACTCATTTATGAAGGCAATGGGTGTAATTCCCCCCCCTCTCTGTGTGTATGTGTGTGTGTGTGTGTGTGTGTGTGTGTGTGTGTGTGTGTGTGTGTATGTGTTGCTGGAGATCAAGCCAAGGGCTGTACGTGTTAAGCAAGTAATCACTCTACCACTGACCTGTAACACCTACATTTTTTTTCAGTTTTATTTATTTTATGTATATTAGTGTTTTGACTGCATGTATGTCTGTGTACATGCATTCCTGGTCCCCATAGAGGCCAGGGGAGGGTGTTAGATCCCCTGGAACTGGATTACAGGCAGTTGTGAGCCACCCCTGGTCCTCTGGAAGGGCAGCCTGTGCTCTTAACCACTGGACCATCCTCTGTCCATCGACCCGTACATTTTTCACGTTTGCATATCCTGTACACTTACATACATGTTTCAATGCAATGCATATTGTACTTTTTTGAAACCGCAATTCTGATTTGGGATGTTTAATTCACGGAATTATGTGTGTGGAGTTACATGTAGGCCTGGGCTGTAGCTCAGTAGTTGAGTGCTGGCCTAGCATTCGTGAGTTCCTGGGCCAAATTCCCAGAGGAGAGAGGGACAGGGTTAGGGACAGAGATGGAGCAAGAGGGAGCAAGGGATGGAGAGGGAGAAGAAAATGGGGATGAGAGAGAGAACAGGAATATGTCAGAGAGAGGGAGGAGAAAGAAGAGAGAAGGAAAAAAGATACGCATCTAAATGGAATATGTGTTCTAAATGTGTATAATAATAATATTGTAATAAAGATCAAGAGAAGGGGCTGGAGAGATGGCTCAGCAGTTAAGAGCACAGTCAGCTCTTCCAGAGGGCCTGAGTTCAATTCCCAGCAACCACATGGTGGCTCACAACCATCTATAGTGAGATCTGATGCTCTCTTCTGTCGTGCAGGTGTACATGCAGACAGAATGCTCATATGTATAAATAAATACTTTTTTAAAAAAAGATCAGAAGTGGCGCACACCTGTCATCCCAGCACTCAGAGAGGCAGGCGGATCTCTGTGAGTTTGAGGCCAGACTGAACTACAAGCGAGTCAAGGACAGCCAAGTCTACACAGAGAAACCCTGTCTGGAAAAACAAACAAACAAGCAAACAAACAAACAAAATCAAAAGGAAATCCCAGGAAGTGGTGAGATGGCTACAAGCCCGAGCCTGCCCTCCCTGAGAACACAGCAGAGGAGACTTTCTGTCAAGCCCCGACCCCGGTCACATCCGTCAGCATTTAAAAGGTGTCTACTAGCTCTTGTAATCACATCCCTGCGCGAAGGCTGGGGTAGTGACTATGGTCTGTTCCTCCTGTCTAGGAGGGAGTTAAGTTGAACGTGTGTAAGCCTCTGTGGCTGTCACTCTCTGTACGCTGTCACCTCCGCATAGTAAGCCAAGGGCCTTTTTCTACCATAGTTGACAGCACAGCTAAAGTTTCAGAACCTGCAAAGTGTATGCTTGCGTGGGTGCGTGGGGAAGAGAGCGAAGAGTGACAGCCGTGTGTTCACGTAGCTACAGCAGCCACAGCTTTTCCAGAGTCCGCAGTCATCCGAGCAACATGCTCCATTAAAGAAAAAACAGTGAAAATCTGGAGCCAGAGAGATAACCCAGCAGTTAAGAGCACTGGCTGCTCTTACAGAGGCACTGGGTTCGATTTCTAGCACCTACCCAGCAGCTCACACCCATCTGTAACTCTGTTCCAGGGATCCGACCCTGGCGTCTGGCTCTGAGGACACTAGACGCGTGTGCAGGCAAAACACTCATACGCAGACACTAATTCATTAGAAAGTAAAAATCATATTCCCAGGAATAACAGAGCTCAGTTGCTCTTCCGGTACCTGGCACATCCTATCATTTTTTAATGTTGTTATTAAATTAAACTCCATGCTTTCTTTGGATGTCACTTAGTGGACATCACACTGCATTCAGATGTCTTGGTCTCTTTGGCCTTTCTATGGGACCCCTTTATTTTAAACAGAGCTTAACCACTGGGGTGATCCCTGCCCCAGAGCCTGCACTGCCCTCCCACCCCCACAGCAGACTGAGGGCACTCACTCTAGATCTGGGATTCCTGGGGCCTCCGGTTCCGGCGGGGTGGTCCGGCCCTACTTTCTGTGTTTCCCTCTTCTTTCTCCTGAGAACTTTCTCCAAGAACACACTGTTGCAGCTAGGCAATTCACCTTCAGAGCTCACAGCAGCAGGGGCCCATCCGGTAGCTCTGCCTTTTGCACACGCCCAGGCCTGGAACCTTTGCTGCCACTCGAGGGTGAATGACCTCTTGAATGAATGACCTCCAGGGACAAACTGACCCTACTTGACTCACAATCTGAAAGTGCCAGGAGACAGGTATGATCCGTCATTGTGGAGTTCCCACTCCAGTTCTCTCGAAGTCTCTTAATTATTATCAATCGTTAACCAAGGAGGAAGAATCGAAGGCTCCTTTTATAGCCAGGGCTTTCTCAGAGGGAAGGTCATCATATGAACTGAAAGGGACATAAAAGTCAGCCCTCGGAAGCTGGGGCTTGGGAGAGTGTGTGATCAGGGATCCACAGCGGAGGAAGCAGGACCAGGGGTGAGGTGCTCACCCAACCCCCCCCCCCCAAAAAAAAACCAATCAGGCCAGACCCAATCAGTTCTGGCATCTGCCTGTGCAAACTTGTGGAAATAGGGCTGACTGTGGCAAGTCTTCGATCCTCAAGGTGTGGGTGGCAGTACTGTCAAGAGGAGGAGAGCCACTGGGTAGATCTTGGAACTGTGTTGGCTGCCACACCCTGCATTTTGTAACGCATTCATTCACTAACTGCTGGTTACCTGCTCTGTGGATAGAGCACGGACAAGACAGGTGAAGATGCCACCAGCGCTGCAGGCTGTCCTCTTGCCCATACGGAAGTGCCATGACATGCATGTGTCTGCACACACATACATGCACACACACACACACACACACACACACAATATAGAAATTAAAAAATAAAAATAGATAGGGTCTGAGGAGCCACAGTTCCATCACTGCATTAAAGAAATGAATGACGAGCCAACCATGCAGACCCCCAAGACAGTGGATTCAAGGACACAGAGACCAGGAACTTAAGGAGATTGAGAAACAGAAAGAAATGGTGAAAAGTCAAGTCAGAGCATCATGTGAATATTTCAGGCAGAGGAGTAACGAGATCTGATCCCGCTGGCCTAAGACAGCTTGTCCTGCTGAGTGGACAGGGGATGACAGGAAGCAGAAGAAGGCGGGGATGCTGGGTGGCTTCTACCCTCCAGGCTGGGGTCATGGAGACTTGAGAAAGGAGTGTGTTTCAGAAAGGAAGGTTGCTGATCAGAGCTCTGAGAAAGAGGAAGTCAACACATATAAACAAGGAATTTATTGGCTCCTATTACTAGGAAAAGCAGGGTGGAGCTGACCTCAAGGGTGGCTGGTAGCAAGGCTCAAAGATCCTTAACCATTTCTTTCTCGGCCTCCATACCTACTTCTCTCCATGTAGAGTCATCACTTTAGGTGCCCAAAGTCACCAGGAAGCCAGGCCAAGAGAAAGGAAACCCAAGCCCACGCTCCTCCACCCAGAGCGGAACGGGTGAATATTCCTAGGGAAATGCTGTCCTGATCTGAGTCTCCTATGTGTCTTGGACCAATTGTCCCAGCTGAGGCAGGAGAGGTTAGGTTTCTCAGAGTTCAAGTCTCTGGGAGCAAGAGGCTATGTGCTGGCCAGATGCCCCAAGGTGATCCCTAGGTGACAGTCAGGCTCTGCCCCGTGAGGCGGGGGATTTCCCTCCTCTGCTGGATTCCTTCTTCTCTAGTTTTCCCTGCTGTGCTCTCTCCAATGGCCATTGTCCTGTGTTGCTCCAGGGCAGGAATTAGTCATTCATTCTTGTTTCGTGGTATTCTGTGATTCTCTCACAGTGTTTTTGTTTACAGCCCATGAGATGTGTGTTTAGTTTTGTTTGAGGGGGTTGGGTAGTTGTTATTTAGTTGTTTTAAAAGTCAAGGTCTCATACATACAGTCCAGGCTGGTTTCAAACTCAAAATATATGTGAGGCTGGCCCCTGCCTCCACCTCCCAAGGGCCAAGGTTACAGACAAGGCTGTCATGACCAGGTAAAGAAATGCTGCAGAATGAACCTAGGGCTCTGAGTGACAAAAACTTAGACTTATTTATTACGTGTGTATGTGGGCCCATGCACACTGGTGCGCTCCTGTGTGGGTCAGAAGACCTTCATGGAGGTTAGAGGAGAGCTCTTACAGGTCGGCTCTCTCCTTCAGCAGCACAGGACCACGGTCATCAGGCTTGGCAGCAAGCACCCACTCATGGAGCCATCTCTACCTCTTGCCTCTTCCTAGACTATATATTATAATCGTAAAAAGGATGTCTTAGAACAGGGGTCATTGAATAATGATCCATAGGTCAGATCTGACCTTCAGATGTTTTTAAAGATTTATTTATTTTATTTATGTATATGAGTTCTCTGTTTTCATGCACACCAGAAGAGGGCATCAGCTCCCATTACAAATGGTTGTGAGCCACATGTGGGTGAGTGCTGAGAATTGAACTCAGGACCTCTGGAAGAGCTGTCAGTGCTTTCATTTGGAGACAGGAATCCACAGGATCCATTATATACACCAGGCTGGCCTTGAACTCACAGAGATCTGCCTGTCTGTGCCTCTGCCTCCCAGAACAATGATCAGGTTTTTCTGTTTGTTTGTTTTAATTTATTTACTTTCTTATGTTGTGTAAGAGAGTCTTGCTGCATGTATGTCTTTTGTGCCTGGTGCCTGAGGTCAGAAGAGAGCCTTGACTCCCCTGGGACTAAACTTAGATGGCTGTCAGCCATCCATGCGGGTGCTAGGAAGCAAACCCGAGTCTTCTGCAAGAACAACAATTTCTCTTTTTGTTTGTTTTTTGTTTTTCAAGACAGCGTTTCTCTGTGTGTCTTGTCCAGGCTGGCCTCAAACTCACAGAGATCTGCCTGCCTCTGCCTCCCTGAGAACTGGGATTACAGGCGGGCGACACCAGCCGGCTCCTAACAATTGCTCTTAACTGCTGAGTCAATTCTCCAGGCCCAACTTTTTAATAAGTTTATTTTTGCACTTATTTATGTGTGTGTGCACATAAACATGGGTGAGTATGTGTGCTTGTATGTGTGTCTGCGGTTACATATGCATTGCTTCATGTGTGTGTGGGCCAGAGGACGACTTGGAAGCAGTTCTCTCCTTCTACCGTGGGTGTGGATTCCTGGTATTGAACTCAGGTCGTCAGTCTTGGTGGTAATTGCCTTCTGACACTGAGCCCCTTGCCAGCCCCTAGAAGATGAGATAATACAATCTTTCAAACAACAGTTTTTCCAAATGCGGGGTAGCAGCACCTTATCTTCGCAGCAGAGAAAGCTTCATCAGAAATCAAGTGAAATCTGAAGGGTATTACAAGGAGAGGACCACACAGGAGCAGAGGCGCATGCACAAGCTTGTTCAACAAGGACAGGTGTAATGGCACCCCTGTAATCCCAGCACTCTAAAGACTGAGACAGGAGAATTGCTATGAGTTCAAGGCCTGCCTGGTGTATATCTTGAGGCTCTCACAGCTAGTGAGGACCACATAGCAAGATATTATCTTGAGATAGTACAACAGGCAAATGTTAAAAAGGGTCAGTGCTGGGGGGTAGCTCAGTGGGAGAGCATTCGCCTAGTGTGTTCGTGCTGCCGTGGAGCCTTGCACCTGTAAGCAGTAGGTGGGAGCTTGCACCTGTGAGCAGTAGGTGGGAGTTTGCACCTGTGAGCAGTAGG